CGCAAGTCTGCCTCACAGTGAGCAAGTCACCGTCCTGTCTGTCCACTGTCTGGGACACACGGTAGAACTGGCAAAAGAAAAGGCGCTTACTATTCATAATATGTTGGATGAGTATTGCCCCAATTTATGGGCCCTCACACTCATGCTTTGTGTGCACCCGGGTATATGACAGCCGAAGAGATCAGCGGGGGGTTGAAACTAATGGGACCGCATCGCAAACCCATAATGACATGATGGAAGAATGAAAAGCCAAGACGGTGACAAGTGTGAAGTGGGACTGTGATCATAGTCCAGGACAGCGAACAAAAATTCCTGCAATCAGCGGTAAAACAAAATGAAAGCGCTTGAAAGACCAACGTGATTCAGTTGTTGACGCAAGCCAAATCTCATGAAATGTACGATTTCCTTAAAGTGATTAAATCAAAACAAAATATCTCCTGTCTTTCTACTTAATGGTAAATGATCGATAAGCATCGCTGGCGACAAACAAACCAGAAATAACTCTGTCAGTCCCCATTATCTTTGTCGGTGACACTTGATGGGCGACATTTTCCAGATGCCACCGTCCAGTTTGCTCTTCGCGAATCCGTCATCATCTGTTTAATCGGAAAAAACATCAAATGATGGTGCATATGTGTCGAATCTCTTAATCCTTAGATAGGGCACGCAAATGTGAATAAAACTTCCTTGCTCCAAATCCTGGGAAGTTAAGGTTAAATGGGCGAAGGTTGGCGTTAGGCTTGGGGCTATACAGATTAGGGTTAGGGTTAGTGTTATGGTTAAACTTAAAAATAGGAGACGGCAATAGGTGTCCCTGAAATACAGCGCAAGTCCACCAGTGGCACCTGGGGGGGGGGGGTTCTTGTACCCGTGTCAGAGCCATCCCCGAAATGCAAAGATTGAAACGAAGGGAAACAGACAAAGATGGGGGATTGTGACTTTGCCCGTTTCAGCCCTTCCTCAGCCAGTCAGTTCCGCAGCCAACGCTCATTTTCTTCCTTGTCATTTCGCAACCCGGTGGATGGTCGCCTGCATGCCATTCCTGACAATCGATCACGGAGCTAAGCGAATCTGAAAGTCCAGTCGGCTCAATGTGCACCCGATCAAATGTGGACGGTTAAATCCACCTAAACAGCGCCTTCATTTCTCACCCACTTCATTATACTTTGAAAGCGAGGTCGTTTTTAAATGACCACTTTAGCACCAAGTGCGGTCTCATGTGACGCCGGCAGGTTGCTTGGATATGCTGTCTGTCTCCTCCACTGCGGCTAAAACTGCTTTCTGTTAATCAAGACCTTGCGTCAGTGTCGCATTTGTAGCCAAGTTGCACACCAAAGAACAGCTGGAGAGGGTTTTCCATGTGGGTCGAACCGAAGGGTGGTCCTTGTGTTGGAGATCCTACAGTATTCGCATTGTTCACTTGACGTGGAATCAAAAACCCTCTCATCTGCCATTCATGCCGGGCTCCCATCATTTATACAGAAAGCGCGGAAAGCCCTAAAACCCTAGTACTGAGGGCCTTTGTTCAGTCCAGTTTGGTCTTATTAAGGGAAGGCTAGGAGAACGCCTTTAAACACTCTATTAGTTGCAATAACGTAACAAAAGAAAAACGTTGTTGTATAAAAAACGTTGGAAATAAGATTGGCTATAGAATTGCATGCATGTGCGTCACTTGCTACCGTGTCAACGTATGCATGGCTTTGCGAAACTATGAACCAAAACTCGTTACTGAAACGTGTCAAGTAGCATGTGAGCAAATAGTCCGAATGTTCTGGACCGCACGCTGTCACCCGACGAGGCATTTAACGAAAATATTATGAAATCGTGTTACCGGAGCACGGGGCGTAATATCCTTATTACTTTGTAACTTTCGGAGTGGTATAAGGGGAGGAATGTACTAGTTTCTGATGGCGTGGTGGTACATATGACTGGACTGGACAAGTTCCCCCTCGAAAATGCCCACGGACAGGACGACGTTTACAGGCAGAGCATTCCTTGCCGTAATCACTCGGCTGGAGATGAAATACTTCCTTGCGTCCAGTCCTGTCCCCAGTCGCACACAGTTTGAGAGGATGTCCTCTCAAGCTAGTGGCTGCGGCAAGCTCAAAGCAACAACGCCCGGCTCTGCAGCATACGGAACGTTTGAATTAAGTCGCCGAGTAGCTGTCTGCAGTCCACAGGCACTGACCACAGACAAGCTTGATTGACGGTCGTTGGAATCGTTGTTGTGTTTTCGAACTACAAAGTCCAATTTAACGGTACTTCAGTAGCAAAAAATATGGTAGCTTATCATCTAGTTGTAAGCATCGACATGCTGGTCCTCAGTTGACAACCTTTCCGCCGATCAGACCAGGGGAGAAGATTCTTTCCTAACTACTACTGGAAGGCATACCCAGTAAATGGTCTAACTAATGAAATTTCGTGATCGAAATTTGAGTCGGCAGTATGTTATACATTTTGTGTTTGGTAGACTAATTTGAGGCGCAGGAAGTTAGTTACTAAAGAAGAATTCATGTCAACTCTGTTTTGTGAAAGGAAACAGGTGAGATGTGGGAGAAATACAGCCCTTTGTGATGTCCAGGTAGTCTCCTTTACTACTGAAATCCGCAGGTCAAAACTTCAAGATTGTGTGCATTATGTTACAAATGAATACTAATATTAACACGGAAACATTGAAATAAATTCCTTCGGGAGACGGAGACTTCAGCCTTCAGTCCATGAAAATCAAGTGAAGGCAGGTGCATGAAATTGCGCTGTTTTCTAAAAAAAGAGTGCGAATTCAGCTTTAAGATTCCTGTCTTTGAAATCCGTGGCGTCTCATATCATAAAACTCAGTGATGAACTCGTAAGACAGTCGTCTGTTTTACCAGGCTGAGAATTACTAGGCATGAACAAATGTCTATTGAGTACCCGCGTCATGCTGTCGCTTTCCTCTGTCACGCCCCGCGATAGAGATGTCCAGACAGTTTTATCAACGGTTGCCTACGAACGAATGAGAGAATAAAGGGCAGATGGGTTTTCGCGTGAGTCTTTAGCAATTATTTTCAATATTGCGAATTATAATTGATAGGACTGTGCCCGGGAATAAGCAGAGTGGACCAAAACGTTCCACGAGCAAGGAAGACGTCGATGTTATTCGGCGTATGCTAAAAGAGATCATTATATGCCCATTACGACCATTCACGGGCAACATCTACGATGTCTTCTATTAGAAAAAGGGTGCAGAAATTTGAGCTCCACCAGCAAAAGGCCATGAAAAAGCCGTTTTTAGGTAGGGATCGTGTTTGAAAACGTTTTTATCCGCAAATAAATAGCTTGGTTACAGATCGTCATTTTGGAAGGGCACTAACCTCAGAGATGAGGTCCTATTTTTAGGTAAGCCTGCGAAGTCGACCCATATGATCATGTGTGGAAAGAACTTTCCAAAAAAGCATAAGGCGCCGACGACAGTCTTCAAAAACTGTCGATGGTTTGGATGGCCTGACCATCCGATTTGGGAATCTTCGCCTTGTCGATCATACCATCACGACAAACCTTTTTTCGCCTTACGGAGTGCCGGTCGAAAAATGCGCCCCTATGTGTGTGGGGATACCTTGGCGACCTCTACCTAACGATCGCATCCTATTGATAAAGTTGACTAAGTTCAGTCCCCACAGCAAAGGCTAGCTGAATATCAACGACTTGGATTCGAACGCGAACAATCACCAAGTGCCGCGTTAGAAATGACAAATAATCAATATCAGTTTTGCAATCCTGAAACACTTTTTCATATCAAAAGTTTGTTGTTCCTCAAAGTGATCCAACTGTCTAATCTCGAGACTCAGTCTATACCGGACATCCTTCATAGACTTGGAAACCGGCGATTCAAGGAAGCGATCGAAAACGGGATTCTGCACTGCATTTTTAGACAGAGTGTGGCCCCTGAGGCAGGCAACCGCGCCACCCTGAAGGATTCATCTTGATACTTCGATGGACATTCCTGCGAACGTCGTACTAAGGCTCGCCAATGCTGCCAGACCTGGCCGGTTGCTATGACCAAACGCCCTGGAGTCGTTCCCCGATTGGTCGAGCGGACGCGTGAAGGTCACGCGTCCGCCCTCTCAGTGCTCGCAAGATGTCGTTTACTAATTTTCAGTTGACAAAGCCTGTCCTCTCGGATCCACTGTCCTGATATATGGTTTTTGAACGCACCCCTACAGTGGGTAATAATCAATGTTGAACCTTAATTCGCCCCTCTAGCGATTTGACATTTACATCTCCCTGTCTTTCAGTTTCTAACGACTAGCGATCCGCTAGTTAATCTCACCGTCATCCATTACGCCAAGGGCAGTCGGGCTCGAGCTCACCTGGTTGGCTTTTCCTCGGTAAAGAGTATCGACTGATATCAAAATAAAAATGTCCATTGTAATCTGTTTGCTTGGTTAGCATATCTTGGAAGGGTCTGCTGTCGTGATCATCGGCGCGGTCGCTTGCCCATATCACTCCTGTGTCGCGCGTGACTTGCGCCTGACACGGTGACTGCTTGGCACCAACTAATGTTGCGCCCTCTTTGATTGGTTTTAGGATGACCTCCTAGCGCTTGCATTCGGGGTTCGGTCGTGTGCGCGGCACGCGTAGACGATGTCACTAACTACGACAGCTACTGCGCCCACTCCCCAGCTGACCGACTCGGACAGTCGACTGGTGCAGGGGATAGGATAAAGCGAGTGAGGTCGTCGGTTCCAGCGCAGAACGCCTCAATACAAACAATCGGAGCAACCTCAGCGCGCCAAAAGCCGTGGTTTAAAAGTTTGCCAACTTATGGGATAACTCGGACCTCGCTGTCAAGCTAATGCGTACTTGTGTGGACTGACCGATTGGTGGACTGTGAGTCAAGTTGCAATAACTCCTTCTTAATGCGGCCTCAATGGCGGTCCTATCTAGTGGGATCGGAGTTGATCGCCTCTCTTCTCTTTTGTAAAATCCTGGTGGTCAGTGTACGTTGTGGACCATAGAGTGTGATGGCACGCCTAGGTGCCAATTTTTCCCGTGTCAGCCACCTGTGCCTTCTCTCGCACCCCGATCTTCTTGACTGTGTGTTGACACTGGCTCCAGTTGGGGGTGGAGGGGATGGTGCGGTAGGTGCGACACAAGTCTACACGTAAGCCTGCTGCGGAGCACAGGGTAGGCATCATCGGTAACGACGGTTGAACTGTCGACTGCAGGCAAACAAAGATCAGGTACACGCAAGCACTTGCGCCAGGGCTAACAACCTCAACAGCTCACATTCGTCCCTTTGGGACAATTTCAGCCGCCGTCTTCTGAGTCACTTGTCCTATCAGTTTTAGGAAACCTTACTTTGTCGACCATCGTACCTCGAGGGCCACATTCTGCATAGATTTTCCGTGTCACGCAGAACACTCCGTCATCTCACACTCCATAAAACAACCGTCCAAATTAGAAACCGGCGGCGAACGCTGTGGGAGAGCCGTCAAGCGACTACCAGCCACGAGAGGAGTTTTACGGGCGTAAAGAGGAGAGAGAGAGAGAGAGAGGGAGGGAGACTGGAGTGACTAATTCTGCCTTAGTTGCCACTTTAAACCAGTGATGTCCCAAACTCAAGGTTTTCGGGCACCGGATGTTCTTTACCCAGGCCAGCTGTTCATCAAGCGAGGCATTCGCCACTGGACTTGGGATCAGTGCGACCGACGATACTCTGTCACATGGTTACCAAACAATCCTGATCGCAGGAAGGAATGGGGACAGGTGGTGGTTACGTCTTTCCCTGAAACTCAGCCTCTGTGGTCAAATGGCAACTGACAACGAATAATCGCGGGCGGAGGGTCTGACTGATAATTTGCCATCAGTTAGCCCTACTGGCGTTCGAGCGGCATATCGTTGGGCTCGAATGGCTAGTGGCCCGCTGAACCCGAGATCTAACCCTCGGGCTTATCGGTAGCTTATCAGTTGGGAGATCACAAGCTGACAACGGCTAATAAGCCAGAAATTACCACCCTAATGCCCTGAAAATTTGTCGGCAACAGATTTTAAAAAAGTGTAGTCATAATAAGAGATCGAAAGATTGCAGCAATCTACGCCGCGCGTGACGGTATTCATTCCTTCTTCTTCTTCCTTTTCTTCTTCATCATCAACAACAGCCACAGCATCATTGATGCCACTACAACCACCGCCACAGTCACCGCCATCATTGTCGTTTTTCTTTATCTGCCATCTTTTTTTAATATTCACAATGGCTCCCCGACAACTATCCATTCGTTTGAAAAGCCTACGAGATTCTGGTGCCTGCACGTTTGTCGCAGTCGTCGTCTAGTCGGACCGGTCGTTATCCGGAGCTAGTGCCAACAGACAGAACCATTTTTACTCGGAAGTTCGTTTGGTAGGTCAACATCTAGTCCGGTTAACTACCACAAAGCTGGAACACTCAGCACCGAGAAACCTCTTCGTAGGTACAGTGAATGACCGATCTCGTGAAATGTCGGCTGAAATTCCGAAATACGTTTTTGATTAGGAAGGATTACTTAGGCGCAGCCATAATACTAATTATCCTGCAGCATAATCTTATAATATTTCGGACTTGGCAGGATGTCGGCTTTTGAATGCACTGCTTTTCAATCTCCTGTAGAAACCGTACTCGGTAAGAAATGGCTACTTATGTGGCATGCCTTTTCCCCATCGATTTTTGGTAGTTTTTCAAATTCAAATATATTTTATAGAAACTACAAACAAAATATGCTTTCTTTCAGTCGTTTGATAGGAAATCACGTCATCTTTATATTTGATACTCAAGGAAGGAGTATAATTAGGTTTGTAAAAAGTTTATAACTATGAGATTTTTAAAGACTATGTCATGTCCATTCATACAACATCTTACCTGCCCATTTACCATTACTCTTCATGAAATAAACAGCATAGTCCTCATCCATTGAAAAATTATATGGACTCCATATAGTATCTTTTTAAGGGCATAGAAGAATATGTGATTTTCTCTACGCGGAACGCATGCACCTTGCAGACTGAAATCACTAGTTGCTAATGCAACGGCTGATCAGGCTCCAAATTATTAGGGAATCAGTAAACGGCAAGATCTCATTTCTAGTCGTACCTGGTAGGGGTTAGCGTTAGTGATTGGGGTTGGGTTATGGGTCAGGGTTAGGGGTTAAGGGCTAAGGTTCGGGATTGGGGTTAGGGGTTGGGGTTAAGCTTGGGCTTGTCCGTTGCTGATACGACTACGAAGTAAGATACGACTCGGAGAACTTTTTTTGAAACCTAATTATACTCCTTCGAGTATAAAATGTAAAGATGACGTGATGCTCTACCAAACAACTGAAAAAAGACATATTTTTGTTTGTGGTTTCTATAAAATATGTTTGGATTTGCAAGACCATCAAAAATCAGTGCGAAAAGTGCATGCTGCTTAAGTAATCATTTTTTACCCAATAGGATCTCTACAGGAGATTGAAAAGCAGTGCATTCAAAAGCTGATATCCTGCCGAATCCGAAATACTATGGGATCTTAGACTGAAACCATTAAGCGCTAATACAACGACTGATCAGGCTCCAAATTATTCGGGAATTAGATAACTTTCTTAAAATCTTATTATGCTCCTTCTTCGAGCATCAGATATAAAGATGACGTGATTCCATATCAAAGGACTCAAAGAAAGCATATTTTGTTTGTAGTTTCTATAAAATATATTTGAATTTGCAAGACTACCAAAATCAATGAGGTAAATGCGTGCTATTTAATTAGTCATTTCTTACCGAGTACGGTTTCTACAGGAGATTGAAAAGCATTGCATTCAAAGGTCGACATTCTACCGAGTTTAAAATATTATTAGATTATGCTGCAAGATAATCTGTATTATGACCGCGCCTAAGCAATCCTTCCTAATCAAAAACTTATTTCGGAATTTCAGCCAACATTTCACGAGATCGGTCACTCACTGTACTTTAAAAGACGATGCATTAGTTCGTTTTGAGGAAAGCACATGTGCCAGGGCGTCAAAAACGTCTGAAAATGCGACTGATGCTTTAAGTTGTGCTGAAAATCGAAAGTGTTTTAAGAACCGACACACGCACCCTGTCTTCGAATACTTGTCTTGGAGAAGACGCAGTCTGGTGAATTCACATGGGAGTGACGTTCAACAACCTTTTCTGACCACAGAATCTCAAAGTCTGCAGTCCTCATAGGCGGTCGCATAGAGGCCAGCAATCAATAACGGAGAACTGCTGCCAATGACAACAACAACAATAAGGAGAAATAGGATTGCCGTTCCTGGCCTATCTAACCCTCACGACAGCTCGACTATCTCGAACGATATGTCCAGCCTGACGGACGTAGGACGGTGACCTGCGCCCTAAGCAGTTCATAGTGATAGCGGACTTTCGCTGCATCTACCGCACTCTCTCCTCCCCCACCCCCATGAGTCCGGTGTCAAAAGAGAATCAGGAAGACGAGGGGCGAGATCGGGCGCAGTGACTGACTAAGATAAGCCAGCCCGATTGCGTTGCGTCTCGTACCTACTCCGTACAGTGGATAAGACTCTCACAGGAACTAAAAAGGGAGACAGCTCGCATCCTACCCGGGTGATAGTGTCATAGAGGTCACAGTGGGAAGGAGCCATTACAGCCTAACTCTCCCTCTCCCAAGAGGATCGAGTTCTCCTCTTAGTTGGCGGTCTTCCAAGTCATGGATTTTAGTGCAGTGTTAGTTCCACAGCGCGTCATATTGTTTAGGATGGAGAATATGCGCTGCGTGCTGCGGGGGGTAGATTCCCCAGGGTCGGCCTCACACTCCTTCCTTCAGTTGCTGGCGCGGCGCGAGCCTGCGCCTAGGCGTACCACACCCTCAATGCGTGTTATTTATTGCAGGATGCGGGGACAGTGCGTAGCCCGGTTAACGCATTCCGTGGAATAATCCGGTCCCCTTATTGGTCCACTGCATCTCCCTTTCTAGGGGCAATTATAAGTCATAATCAGTCAGCCAGATCCGAGACTAAGGCGAAGTTTAGCGCATTTGTTTAAGTAAGGCTAGTCCCCAAAAGCTGTTTCACTGAAAATACAGTAGGTGGACTAACTCATGAAATGTCAACCGAAATTCCGAAATGCGTTTTCGTTACGAAAAGATTAATTAAGTAGGGTTGTAAAACTAGTCAGCCTGCAACATAATGCTATAACATTTCGGTTACCTCAGAATGCCGGCTTTCTAATGAACTTACGTCCGGCTGCATGCAAAAACTACACTCTGTAAAAAATGGCTACTTATGTAGCATGAATTTTTCTCATCGATTTTCGATTACCTTAAAAGTCCAATTATTTTTCATGAAAAAAATGCACAGAAATATTCATCATTTCGCTCATTCGGTAGATGATTACGTTTTCTTCCAATTCTATACCCGAATGAAGGGTATAATTCGGTTTTTCAAAAACTTTTCCAGTTCCCAAATAATTTTGAACCCGCTCCAGTGCTACACTTGTATTCAGGGTTTCCAAACTACAAGCCGTATATTTTCCGCGTACGGAAAACCACACATTGCTCGATTGTAATAAAGGGGGACCATATAGGGTTCATAAAATTCAACAGTTGACTTGAGCCATATTGGTAACTTTACAAGCCACATTGGTAAATGCAGAGATATGACGACTTATGAACGGCCGTTTCACGGTATTTAAAAGTCCCACAATTAGAAACTATTTAAAAACCGAATTATGTCCCTCCTTCGAGTATAAAATTAGAAGAAGACGTAATTTTCTACCGAATGAACAAAAATGGATAGTTTTACGCATGTTTTCCATGAAATATAGTTGGGCTTTTAGGTTCATCGAAAATCAATGAGAAAAATTCATGCTAATTATGTAATCATTTTTTACAAATGGTAAATTTGCATGCAGCCGGAAGGAAGTTCATTCGAAAGCCTGCATCCTGAGCTAAATGAAATATTATAGACTTCTGTTTCAGGCTGACTAGTTATACAATCCTACTTAATTAATCTTTTCGAAACGAAAACGCATTTCGGAATTTCGGTTGAAATTTCATGACTTAGTCTACTTACTGTAATTAATATGTCTGCCCTCTGTTAACCTGATCTTGAACCTCACCTAACTCCCACAAACTCATTCTCTTTTCAATGATGCCTGAGAATGCTACACTCTCTCCGACGCTTGCATTATTGTGCTTACTCATGAAACGTGATGACGGGAACTGAGATGATCACTTTTAGACACCTAAATTGTTACGCATTTTTGCTTATTCGCCGAGCTCGGTTCCGAAAATGTCATTTTTTAGTGCAGAATGTGCGTCGAAGCTATTTAGTAATCAATATGTTTACAAATTTTACTCGGCAACTTGGTGATCTTTGTGCGTCAATCTTTGCCCTTATTCTTCAGCACTCAGCCCTAATTGTTTATGTGATCGGAAAAATATATATATTCGCCCTAAAGATGTTATCTATCAGGATAAAAGCACTTGCTCTCTGCAAACGGAAAACCTTAGACGGTTGCAGCCGACATTAGCTGTCCTGTGCCAGAGTTTTGGTGTTCTGGACAACTTAGTTCGAGGAATGTAATCCTGCCTAGGCTAGAGCCGTCGAAGCCGCCAAACAAACGGGGGAACATCCGCAAATGCTCAAACTACAGCGTGAATGGCTCCCGACCAAACATTTACCGAACAACACCTACTTAGACAAATATAGTAGACAGTTTTGGGTAGTACGCACGCCCTTACTCTTCCGTCCTCCCAGAAGTCTTTCGAGCTGTTGGAATAACTGGCGGGCTAGGCGACGAGCTTCTAGACGGCAACGAGTGGTAACCGATGGTCTCCCTCCCCTCCCTTCTCCCTGATCAAAACGAAATAAATGTTAGATCGTAGACAGAACACGGCCGCTCCCGCCCCCCCCCCGAGCATTCAAGGGCTTCTGCTTTCAAAACTGTTGGTTGGCCATGTTACTTTGATGGAGGCCTCGAACGCCGACGTCGTCTGACATGCAGGCAGGCCACACTCAGTCTGAAGACACATCTAAATCGCGACTGACTGGACGCCGGCGTCCATCAGCTTGGAATAACCTTGGCAAGCAACAAATTAAAAACGAAGACAACATCTATTTCTTGTTATAACTAAGGCTTAATTTTGAAAACTCGGTCGCTAAATGTTCATCAGGGCTACCTGTTTGGTGTATGGCGTAAATGCACTTACGAAACTACGTTTCTATATAGATAAAGAGATATTAATGGATGCAAAGTAGTCTTACTCGCTTTCTTCACTGCCCTTTTCTTTGCTTCAGTTCCTGAACGTCCTTGGAATCGCAGGACTCCATAGTAACCTAAGAGCGAAATCCGGGACTGATTGGTCTGACTGTCTTATCAGCAAAACGTCCTCCTCGCCTAGTGATTATTTGACCGAAATAAAATTGGGGGTTTCGTGCAGACCAGAACCAGCACCAGATGCTTCGGGGTCCAGACAGACCACGCCCTCTCTCCAGAAGCCTGATAACAGGGCCTTGATAAGTAGATCTACCTCAAAATAGACCTTCACCCCTCCTCCTCTTCTTCATCCTCCCTCTCCTCCCGCTACTACTACTGCCACTATTACTGTTACTGCTGCTGCTGCTGCTGCTGCCGCCGCCGCCGCCGCCGCCGCCGCCGCTGGTGGTGGTGGTGGTGGTGGTGGTGGTGGTGGTGGTGGTGGTGGTGGTGGTGGTGGTGGTGGTGGTGGTGGTGGTGGTGGTGGTTGTTTTTGGTTGAGTCGTCGTGTTGTTAGTTCATTAAGTCCAAAGATATCCGACGAGGACGATCCGCGCGCAGAATGATCAGTGACAGCGTGTACACGCTGAAATTGGTAGAGTGTTGGGATTGAAAGCCTACCGCATTTGCAATTTGCGAGTCGCTCTTCTGGCGATGAAGTTAGCTTCATAAATTGTTGCTCCAGTCCTCACTGCTTTTCTCTAGGTCGGTCGGTCCTGAACGTGGTCCCCCCAGGTGGCCGGCCTGATTTGCAAATCCTTGAGTAATTCCCCTAGGGTGCGCTTGTAGAGTCGTATTTGCCTTCCTTGTTGGCGAGCACCCGTAGCGATGTCATCGTAGAAGTCGTTTGGGTAGTCGCTCCACCGCGGTTGCAGGTTTCCCGGCATGGCGCGGATGCTGAGGATTCCGGCCCTCTTCAGGACTTCTGTGTCTGGGATCCTGTTCAGCCACCTAAGCTCTGGCATTTTGCGGAGACATCTGAGAGGGAACTTGTTGCCACACTACCACTGTTACTGCTGCTGCTGCTGCTGCTGCTGCTGCTGCTACTACTACTACTACTACTACTACTACTACTACTACTACTACTACTACTACTACTACTACTACTACTACGACTACGACTACTAATACTACTACTACTACTACCATTACTACTACTACCATTACTACTATTACCATTACTACTGCTACTACTACTACTACTACTACTACTACTACTACTACTACTACTACTACTACTACTACTACTACTACTACTACTACTACTACTACTTCCACCGCCACCACTACGTCTATTTTCCCGCCTCTCTACCACCTTCGTTCCTCCATGTCTGTCCTCTCCTATTTCCTACCAAAACCCATTCTCAGTCGTACATATACTTGAAAAAGTTCACATCATGCAATTATTTACCGTACGGACAACACAGGTAGTAGCCAAAAGCCCAGACATGCATGTTTCGCCGATCTTGTGTCGCTGCCTGACGCAGCTGCGAGGGGTTCGGCTCATCAGTGGGTCCCCCAGACTTCCCCCTGCGTTTTCTGATATATGAACTCCATTTTCATCTTGCCTTTTTTTTAATTTCCGAGGACATTATACCAAAAAAACACACAGGGAAATCTGGGGGAACCACTGATGGGCCGAATTCTTCGCAGCTGCCTCGGGCAACGGCACAAGATCGGCGAAACACGCGTGGCTGGGCTTTTAACTTGCACCGGTGTTGTCCGTACGGTAAATAATTACTCAATTCTATACTACTGGCTGCCTGTCGGTTGTTTGTGAATATTACAAGGTTATTTCGCCGTAGCTGATGGATCTCAGCTCAAATATTCATTTCAAACCTCGGACCGTGACTGAAAGTGTCTGTTCCGAAGGATTTACTCCAAGTACGCTCATCAGTTTCCTCGGAATTTAAACAAGGCAAAGTTTACTTTTATGTTGCTGGCAGTCTTCTCCCCCCCCCCCCTCTAAGTGCGACATCAGGTTCAGTAGTAGACCCAGCACTTGAGACGGGGAGGGGGGTGGGAAGACTGTCAGTGCAAACATTCCAGACTGAAGAGTCAGTTGGCGAACATATGGTTTCGGTAACTCATCATCAGGCCGATACATTTGCATGGGTAATGATCATTCTACTTGTAGACAGGATATCAATGCGTCTCAGGGGCAGAGTTAATCGGACTCCATGTTCCCACGCCGCCCGCACGACGGAGTCAGCGTTTTGAGACTGAAAGCAGCCCCGACCGACTCGAGTACTTGATTAATCCCAGGGCAAGGCCGGCTGGACACATGAGCTGAACTCACACTCCAAGCCCTTCCGTGGCCCTGAGTGCACTTTTTGTCGACTGGGTCGACTCGAGTGTCGCGCCTTTGCGGCGTGGATCGATATGGCGGCGGCGACGACGCCAGCGCGTCGCCTGGCACCAGCCGTCGTTCAGTGGACACGGACGACAGCAGCCGTGGCCAAGCGAAATGCTATGGAGCGTGGGGTCGGAGGCAATAAAATTATTTGGGTGTACTTGGTCACAGTTGAAGCATTAAACTCTCGGTCGCCTGGAAGTTATTAGTAGAAGAGCTTGAAAAAACCTATATTAGCAGGGAAGTCAACGTTCCACAGGGTTTTATGGAGATTAATGGGGCTTGAACTGACTTATATCTACCTCCCCACCCTCGTCCCCTGATTTAGTCCTACAGTCCACTTCTAGTACGGGTGGTTTTAGATTGCACCGCCTACCCACCGTCCTAGCACCTGAAAGTCTTCTCGAGTAAATAACATGACAGGACACGGGAATAGGAACTTTGCACTAAATTTCAGGGAAATTAGTGACAGAGTTAGGTTCACTGTTACGTTTGAGGTTGGGAGTCAGGGTTAAGGCTTGGGATAGGACACGGCAATAGGCACCCTTCCTGGCGTTTAGCATAAGGCCACCTGTATTACGGGAGGGAATCCCTAGTCAGGTGTCTTACTGTTCCTCAGATGTGGAAACTGTATTAAAACTAGCTTTTTTCTCCATTCAATGCATTCTTTCAGGGCTTGACTGAAAGATGGACGGTAGAGCGCGGAAACATGGACCTGCCCCGGTAGTACACGTGGCATTGCGCCTTATTCCATGCGGGTCAGTGTCGGAGGGGATCAGGACTAGGGTTAAGCTTATGCGGATTAAGGCTGCGTCCCTGTCCAACCAGACGGACCTTCACAGGAGCACTGTTCGCCGAATGAGAAGTCTTTCGGGCAAAAGAAAAACTTCGGGGCTGGCTGGTTACACCGGACATTGGACTAAAACCTATTACGCGCAATCAAGAATGCTGAAAAATGACATGCTGTAGGTTAGGGCGGAGCAAACTGAAGCAAAGCATACGTGCCTTGAAGAGGAAGCATTTAAAACAACAAGGAATGCCCTGTCGAAGTCCTTACCTTAGCACTTACAGACCACGACGCATATCGTTACCGACGCATCTGATTTACTACCGCCAACCGTTCCCTCACCACCCCCATGGAAGTTGACGTCAGATCACCTGTAATACCGGGGGAAGTCTATACTCCCGTACCATACCAATATTGTTGCCCAGATACCTTGATGACTACCTGTTGGTTAAATTTTCATTACTCCTTCACACTGATTAGAAGAATAGAAAGACGGGGTGTCTGATTTGAGGTTCAGTTCCGCTTTCTGCTGCTCTAACGTTGAAGAAGAAGAGTTGAGCACCGGAACACTTTGTTTATTGTCCTGAGCTTTCAGATTCGTACATGTGGCCGCCCACACCTACGAAATAGGTCACGAGTTTAACTTCGCAGCCACCGAAATAGTCGCCCACGCCGGAAACAAAACAGGCCGAGAATTGATTGAAGCCTGGGCCTCGGATGAGAACTCGGTCAATCGATTTATCCATCTGGCGCCGGCGTACAGAGTCCTGCGTAGTCAACTCCAGTATTGCGCCGTCGGTCGATGATTGGGCCTACAAGCCTTATAACTGTCGCTTGTTCCGATGCTGCTACTACCTCTAACGATGGACTCCTGTACGAGTCTGAAAGCTCAGGACAATAAACAAAGTGTTGCGGTGCTCGACTCTTCTTCTTCACTTATGCATACACCTGGAACTCAAAATTTCGCCTTCATTCGCTCTAACGTTGATCTGACATTTCGTCAATTCACGCATTCTTCCCTTTGTCCCTTATTGTCTTCCTTTACTGTCCTGATTAGATGAAATGAAGTATTATAATAGAATGGCCATTACTGATCACGCCCCTCCACCCTCGTATATACCCGCTTGCATCCACAGGAAAGCGATCCCATGGCTCAGTGGTCAGGTCGTTGAAATTCTAACCAACGGGTATCGGGATCGGGTGTCAGGGGCAGCAAAACCTTGGGTGTCGGGCGCGGCTGGCTGGTGACGGCTAATAAACCAAAAGAGGACATTCCAGTCAGTCCTCTCTTTGTTGGTAATATTATTCTGCCTAAAAGGTGTATTATTTACATGCCAAAACCCTCAAGACCGTCTCCGATGATGGGTTCGAGTGAGAATCCGAAACCTCGGGCTAATAAACTACTTATTCCAGTGATCGCATCTTCTTCTTCTGAACGCACAAGAAGATCAACATTAGGCCCTCTACCCTCTTCTCACACCCAAAGTCACGAAAAGATTGGCTTCTCTCTCCACCCCCCGCGCACATGCAGCGGTTGGACGCAATTCCAGGCGTGGAATGATTGGCTCTGTCCACATGTGTAGCACGTGCGGTCAGTGACCGATCTCCCAAAATTTTAACCGGAATTCTGAAATGCATTTTCGATTAGAAAGGGCTGTGTAAGTGGGGTTGTAATTTTGATTATCTTGTGGCATAATCCTGTGATATGTTAGACACGCCGGGATGCCGACCTTTAAGTGCACTTCTTTCGATCATCTGCGAAAACCACAGTCGGTAAGAATACTACTTAAGTAGCATATATTTTCACCGGTTCTATATGCCCTTATGCTGAAAACACGCACGAAAATATTATTTCCTGAACTCATTTCGTAGTAAATCACATCTTCAGTGTCAATTCGAATATCATCATGCCCGTCTGTTTAGTAGCGCTCCTCGCTAAGTATGCAACATAGTTCAAATCCGTTGTAACATTTTATGAGCCCTAGATGGTATTTCGTTAACAATATAGAGGAATGTATGTTGGTCCTTACAGGGCAAGTATACAACTTGTTGACTGTAAACCCTAAACGAACATGCAACGGCATATCGAATTCGAAATTACTCGGAGATTGAAAAACCTTTTTAAAACCATAAGATACCTTTCCTCTGAGTATAAATTTTGAGGAAAACATGACTTGCTACCAAATAAATAAAAGAAATTATATTTTTATAGAGATTTTTTTATAGAATCTACTTTAATTGACAAGGGCAACGAAAATCAATATAAAACGTATGCTACTTAAGTAGTCATTTTTATCGAGTGCGGCCTTTTGTAGACGGACAAACAAGCGAATTTAAAAGCCAATACCGTGGTTTGTCTGAAATATCAGGGGATTACGCCGCGAAAGGATTAATATTACGACCCCACTTAAATAATCCTGGCAGCA